GAATAATTACAAGGTTGTATGAATTTTCCTCATTCTCAGTGCGAATTTAAAGCAGATTGAGCAAATCCTTTCGTACGCAGTTCGGAGTAAGGCAAAAAATCGTCTATTCTTCAAGGTTCTTTGCGACGTTCATTGACTGGCTTCTGCAACAAATGCGAAGGAATGAATCTACGACTGTGGCAACAGGGGCTAACTTCTGCAATACCTCTCTTATATTTGTACGTGATATCGTGTCGGTAGTAGACAGCTTCAAAACCACGGCATTGTAGTCTCTAACTCAGGGACGGATATGTTCAGAACAGAGACTCTGCATCAGTTTAGTTTCAGGGAAACACACCGGATGGAAGGGATCAGAAACAGAGCAAATGACCGTGACCACATTTGGTTATGCTTCACGCCAAAGAAACTGCGGAGAAAGTGCGAGCGGATGAAACGGAGACAGGATATGGTATCGAAACGAGTGATCGAGTGTGGGGAATCCGCTTGAGATCATGACGTCTTTGCCACTGAATGCATGATGGCTGATTTGCATAGTGAATACTAAGCGAGTTTATTCGATTCAGTGGAAACCTGCAGTTGTCCGGCTTCGACTTCAATGCCATGCGATCAGAAGGAGAAAACGTAGAAGACGAAGAAAAGGAAGAAAAAGTTTCTTTAACATATTTGGCTGGAAGCAGTGAGAGGATCAGAGGAAAAAGTCCTCAGGTCAGCTGTAATCGACATTTGCTTGGCTACTAAGCATTACCTTTATCCATGCCAAAAAGACGGTTTTCGGACGATCGAAACGCTACATTGAAAATAACATCTTCAGCCTCTCTATAGCCTGCTGGCATCATCTGTTTTCGCAATGGGAACTCGAAGAAAGCACTCTGTCTTTAGGCACTTTCAACATTGTCCAGATGCACGTGCTTCCCACTTGGCTGCTTGATGCAGGCCAAAGTCCTTTCTTACAGCGTCGACTGAAAAATTTTGGAAGACTGTTGTTTGTGCTGTGTTTAATCTCTATTTGGAGATGTAGATTTTGATGATGGCAACGACGTTGCACAACGGGATAAACAGTTCATTGATTGCTAGTTTTTCTGACCGTCCAGAATCTGGTGCAGTGAACAACTACCAGACCTGAGAATTGGCTGGGCGCGCGTTGCTATGGGGTTCCTTATTCTCTGATCTCATTTTAACTCATGCATGAGGATCTGAAAATATCAAGCCACATGAACTGAACTGAATGACTCATTATAGACGTAAATTTTAGTTCTAAAAGAAAAGCAAAGCAACGCCAAAAGGCAAGCTATAGAAATTGCGCAGCAATTAATCATAATAATTTGTAAAGATGATAGGAGCTGTAAGAAAACAGATTTTAATATCTTTTTTATCATTGGCTGCAGAAGTTTTCAGAACTGATAGCATGTTACAATAATAAAGGGCGATGCAATGTACATGAACAGCGTCTTGAACTAGTCTAACCGGATAACTTAAAAAAGTTTTGATTCATAAGGCTCTACAAAGCGTTGTATTATTTATGACTGCCGAGAATGTAATATTTTCATTCTTGAGGCAGCGCTGGTTCTGTTGCCTACAGCTGCATCTGGTTTACTCTCTTGTATGCAAGTTCGGCAATGTGCTCGTCACTATCAGTGAACACTATCGATCCTCATCAACACGAAATACCGTGTAGTAAATAATCCTCTCATACTAATCTCAGTCCAAGGTATGGTTCGCAGAAAAAGCTAATCCGTTACAAACCATGATGCAAGATTTCGAGAGAGAGAGAGAGAGGGAGAGAGAGAGAGGAACTGCACAAGTCGGACTGCGAATCAATCGATCGAAGGAAAAGATTCTGGGATCGGAATGAGGTAACATTCAGCCGCGAGAAGATAAAAATCGACAGGCATATTTACCTGGACCTAAAGGTCCACATGCGGCACGATCAAGTTGGAGAGGTTCAGAGAAGAATGAGGACCGGTGGGCACGCGCTCACTTCCATCAAAGCCGTCCTTCTCGGCAACATCAAGATAGAAGC